GCTGAGCGCACGGGAATGGGGAAGAGCAGGGCTGAGCGCACGGGGATCCCATGCTGCTCCTCACATACATGTGCCCGTGTGCCCACAGACCGGGCACCGCGCGCCAGGGCTGGCAGCCTCCCTGGAGCTGCTAGGGGAAAGCCCTGCCGAGCTCCGGGCCGCTGCCCTCTCCTCCTGTCACCCGTGCAGGTGTGAGCCTGCCCTTCCCTGCCCTTCCCGGCGCTCCGGGGATTCCTGGCTGCAGCACCAGGGATGTTACGCTGTTCCTGGGTGTAGCAGTGCTGGAACAAGGCTCTCACCAAATTAAACGAAGCCAGTCCCTCATTAAATGGGTGTCACGCTTAATCCATCTCCCTTACCAATCTGCCCGTTGTAGCAGCCGCCTGCCAGGATGTGCGAGTCTTTGGGGTTGTATTCCAGGCTCACGAGAGGCGAGGACGGCTTGAGAACCAGCTCCGGCTTGTTGGAGTTTTCTACCAAGAAGGGGTGAGTAAAGAGCAAAGTGAGATGGGAGCCTCGCAGGAAACAACCTCCCGCTCCAGAGCAGCCCCTGGTGCCGCTCCGGGCTGCCCCTTCCTTCATTATCCGAGGGGAAGTGACCCGCAGAAACGTGGGCACCGCAGGTACCCCGGTGATGATGTGTAGTGGGAGTCTAGTGCTCATTTTATTAGTTATTAGTGGTTATTTTCCATCTCTTGGCCAACTTTCAGATCCCCTTTCTCCCCTCCTTTACATTGATCTGTGGGCCAACGATGAAATTAAAACCTCTCGTCACCCCCTCTGAGGGCCGCGAGGCTTCACCACATCCGTGAGATGCTTTGAAAGCACAAAGTGCTTTTCCCGCAGCAGCAGCAAGACCGGCCCAGCTCCCCTTCCCCTTACCGAGATCCCAGATGTACGAGTCAAAGCTCATGTCCTTCACGTTTTGCTGGAACTCCAGGCTGGAATAAGCTACTGCCAGTTTCTTGCATCCATCAGGGTGCCAGGAGAGATGCGTGGCTGTCCTCTTGGTGACATTTGGGTCCCTTTTTGGCAGCAGGACATCAAACACAGACATTAGCTTGCTAACAGCTCTGTCATGCCTCGGGCTCAGCGACTCCCAAAGGAAACTGCGGGAATCGCAATTAAAACAAGCCACAGCCCTTGAGTACTGGCTGCGGGAAACGATTCCCTAGGGGACCAGGTGGTGGGGGAGAAGAGTCGGTGATTTAATAAAGTCTTTCCAGTTACATGCTTCTAAGAATCCAATTACGTTACTGGATCTGACTTTTAGAAATGACCTAACAGGGCCTGACATTTGAAAATGATCTTTGAGACACACACACACACACACACACACACACACAGGGAAGCCGGTGTGGGAGCTGCTGTTGGAAGATGCCCAGAGCTGCTTCTCCTCCTGGATACAGCGAGGTGCCCGGCAGGAGCCACCGGAGATCCCGAGCACGGGTCCCCACAGACTGGGCTGTGACAGCTCTCTCCATCCATGGAGTGACCAAACACTACCCTCAAACCACTGCTTTTTTCCCACCTCCTCTGTCTCCGGAGGGCTCAGCCCGCTCCGCGGCACCCCGGGGACACCGGCGCGGCGAGCGCAGCACCCCGCGCTACCTGATGACATTGATGGTTTTGGCGGAGGGCGGCTCGTCGTCCACCTCGGCCATCTCCTCCTCTCCAAAGTAGTCCTCGTAGATGTTGATGGCGTTGTTCTGCTTGATGCAGTGCTCCATGAGCTGCAGGGAGGCACTGGCAGAGGTGGCCCCGGGAGCTGCCGGGGCGCGGGGACGGCGGCGGCGGCCTTACGGTGCCGAGGTGCGTGATGGTGTTGATGTAGTGCTCGTCCTTCTCCACTTTCTTGCGGAAGCGGATGGTCTGCTCCATCTCGTGCGGGGTGATGTCCTTGGGCCCG